TATTTTTATTCTTATTAATTATTATTAATTTTAATAAAAGATAAAATTGGAAGAATTTTTTTAAAGTAACATTGCAAATTAAACGATTAAATTAATTCAAAGAATAAAAATATATTTTTAATTAATATAAAATAGAGGGAGTATGAGAAAATTATATATATGTCAATAACTAGGAAGTGTATTATACAAACTTTGGGCCGTGTTGTGGGCGAAAAAGTGAGTTTATTTAGCTGCTCTTGCAGAACTTGGGCCAAGTTCATTGAACTGCCACCGGTTACAGCTCTCCCTCCGCCGCGAACTTGCTGCATCCGTCTGTTTCTCCGGCGAACTCCTCCCGGTCTCTTATTTTTCCGGCATAGTTCTATTTCAGGTTCTTCTCTTCCTCCTTTTTGTGTAATTGTTATGAAGACCTCTCTCGAAAAGGAACCCTAATTTTGCTAGGATCACGCGTTCTGGTTTGCAGCTTTGTTAAGTAGAAATTCGTTATGAATAACAATAATCCAGTTAAGAATGTTAGTTTAGGAACCTCAGTTCCAATTCAAATTCCTCAATCTATGCCGATAAACCATAATCAACCAGCTGTTCGTCACTTCTCCCAGTCACCAGCACAACGGGGTTCACATTTCCCTGGCCATTTTCAGTTATCTGAATCACGATCTCATGCCCCATTTCAAGGTCAAGCTCAGGCCTTCAGCCATTTCATCACTTCAGGGGTTAATACCAATGCTGGTGTTTTATCCCCTGCTGCTTCTACACCCAATACAGCTTCTGGGGGTGCTAGAAAAGTGCTCCATAGACCACCTTCTCGGACCGGTGGTTCATCTAACCATGGTCAAGCAACTGCTTCTCCTTTAAAGACAATGGAATTAACCCCTGCTGTGCGTAGGAAAAAGCAAAAAGTTTCTGACAGGTTTATACCGGATAAGGTGGCTGCGAGTTTGCCCGAGTCAGCACTTTACTCTCAGTTGCTTGAATTCGAGGGTCGTGTAGATGCTCTTCTTTCTAGAAAGAAGATTGACATGTTGGAATCCCTTAAGAGTCCTCCGCGTTTCCAGAGAACTCTCAGAATTTATGTATTCAATACTTTTGCGAATCAGACACCAGCTAATCCGGACAGCGATTCGGCTGAGCCAGCTTCATGGTCTCTTAAGATTATCGGAAGGATCTTGGGGGGTGGGTCGGGTTCTCAAGCATCTGAAAGGGAGCAGAAATTGGGTGTTGCTTGCCCCAAGTTCTCATCTTTCTTCAAGAAAGTTACTGTTTACTTGGATCAAAGTCTATATCCTGAAAACCATGTAATTTTGTGGGATAGTTCTCGATCACCAGCTCTTCACGAGGGTTTTGAGATTAAGAGGAAAGGGGATAAGGAGCTTACTGCAATCATCAGACTGGAGATGAATTATATGCCTGAGAAATTTAAACTATCCCCGGCATTGCAAGAAGTTCTTGGCATTGAGGTTGAGACACGAGCTAAAGTTTTAGCTGCTCTTTGGTACTACATAAAAACTAAGAAGCTACAGATATGCCATGACACCTCCTCGTTCACTTGTGATCCTCCTCTAAGGAAGATTTTTGGAGAAGAAAAGTTGAAATTTTCCCTGGTTTCCCAAAAGATTCATCCGCATCTGACTGCCCCTCAACCTATTCACCTGGAGCACAGGATTAAGCTATCTGGAAGTAGCCCAGCTGGGAACACTTGTTATGATGTACTGGTTGATGTTCCCTTCACATTGCAGAAGGAATTCTCCACATTCTTATCTGATTTAGATAAGAACAAGGAGATTGATGCATACGATGAAGCTATTTCCACCGCTCTAAAGCAAATCCATGAACATCAGAGAAGGCGAGCTTTCTTCCTGGGATTTAGTCAGTCACCTACCGATTTTGTTAATGCATTAGTTGCATCTCAAGCCAGGGATCTTAAGCTTGTTTCTGATGATTCGACCCGTGATTCAGAAATGGAGAGGCGTTCTGAATTCTACAATCAGTCTTGGTAAGCTTCTTTCCTAAGTATCCTAATTATTGATTAGTTGGGCTTTAACTTCTATGTGTTCACAATGCTGTATAATGATATTCTTTTTGTTCAATATTATGGTCACTATATCCTCCAAAAGGAAAAAAAGTATAGAGATTTGACATAAAGTAACACCTGAAGTTGTCTCAAAATTTTAAAAACGACACATTAACTATGCGGTCATCCTATGTCCCCAAAAAAGTATGAACTACCGTTGTAAATAGACCATTTTGACCCATTTTCTCATCAATACTAGAAACACCCCCTTTTAATTAATTAATTTAATTTAAATAATACAAAAACACAGGTTTAACCCGACCCGAAATGTTGAGCTTGGAATTTCAGTAGTATGAACTTGATTCAAACTTCCATTGTCTTCAATGTCATGAAACTGATGGCTTTGAGAATTGCCCAAAAATTGAGCTTGAAATCCTTCACCTGAGAGTTCCTTAATTTGGTTATCCTTAACCTTTGAATTGTTAGGAAGCTTACCGATTGGGGCTTTTTGTTGTGTTATGTTAAGTTCATTCTGGTGCTCATTTTGGCATTGGTCGTTGCTTGAAAATTTCGCCGGAGCTCCGTCACGGACCCCGATTATGATTCTCTTGTCCATTTTAAATGGGCTTTCAGTATTAGGTACATTAGGATGTGGGAAGTATTCCTTGAACTACTGAAAATTAACAAGAAGTTAGAAAGTTCTTACCTTTTTGGGGTGATTTCGTTCAAGAGAGAAGATGATTTTTTATTGACAGCATAGCACTGTGGATTAGTGTGTTTGACTTAGGATCAAAAGAGGAAGTAATTAAGTAATAAAGAAAGAATTGGCAGGTGGTGCTTTTTAATTTGTTTTTGGAAGCAAAGTTTCTCATTCACAGGCTTCATCTGCGTGAAAACAAACATAGGGAGTAACTGAGTCGAAATGGTCTATTTTCAAAGGTCTTGTATACTTTTGTGGGGGTAATAGAGTGCCCGCATGGTTAAGGTGCTTTTTGAAAATTCGGGACAACTTCATGTGCCACTTTATGTCTTTTCTCAAAAATAATAATAATAATGTTATCATGTTATCTTGATGCTGGAAACATCTCTAATCTAACAGATGAATCTTTTAATCAGAATTCAGCCGGCTGAAACATGATCTCCATCTAATCACAATCATTATAACTTAAATGTTTTTGTTTGAACTTCGAAAGTGTCTTGTTTGATCTGTCTTAAGATATCTATATTTATTTGTACCTCACAAGCTTTTCAGATCATCTAATCTACTTTCTGGTGAAACTTATAGGACTGAAGACGCTGTTGTGCGCTACTTGAATCGCAATCATGCTTCTGGTGCTGACCATTCTGCTAGAAAATAGGACTTGTCGGGCCATTTTTCGGACAAAGGATGTCCGACATAAACTAGGGTATCTTATGTAGAAGCATTCTAATAATCTACTTCTGCTGATAGGGAAAGAGCTTATTATATTGTATTTAAGCAGGAATGTTTGGGATTTGTCAATTGCACCCTAAGAAAAGGATAAAGAGGAATGAACTTTTGCGATGCCAATGGTTACTTCTTCTCTTCTTTTTCGAAACTGGTAAAATTCCTACTAGTCGTTGTAATTATGTTGGAAATGGCCCCAAATGCTTTGGTTGTTAATGGCTGGAGTTGAATTCACAGCTACTCAGCATTTTCTAGTTAGCCAATATTGACTTTATGGTGATTTAGTAGATGTATGCTGGAATAGCTCTGTGGGCACATAAAATGCCTTTTTCTTTTGTAACCAGAAGTTGTTATTGCTGAGCCAAAGTGAAATCTCCTTCCAATTGGTGGACAACCAATTGGCTTTGAATTTGATTAGAGCTTCAAATTTGCCTTGAAGGTCCATGCGCTTTACACATTTCATAAAGATGTTTGATTACCTGTGTTATAATCCAACAAACTAAAAAATTTATTTGAATAGGTTATCTACGTCCCACAAGGGTGATTGAGTTGGTTGAACAGGAATATTGGGGTTTTAGGTTCGAAATCCATTGCATGCTTTTTTGGTTGAAATAATCACACAACTTTTGTCTAGTGCTTCTGTATTGTTCGTAGGCTACTACACTAGAGTGAAATTTGCCATGCGCAACTTCAATAATCCATAGACATCGTATTTATTCCATTGAGATGTATGTTAGTGTGAATGTGACTGAATTTTAATATTAAAGCGAAGTTATAATTTGAACTTTATGAATAAGAATATCATATGTTAATATTAAATTCTAAAACTTCTATACACAAAATTTTCTTTATATAAATATAATTTATAACTTAGTTTTGGTGAATTTGTGATTAATTATATAGCTTTGCAGTTGTTTGTTAAAAAATAAGAGAGAAAATGACATATATATACTTTCTTTTATATTTCCCCCTTCAAAACCCACCTCATGAAGGGTATCAATAGTCTTTCCTCATTTCATCATGCCTTTAGCGTGACTCGAACCTCCGAACCAAATCATAGATGCTCCAAGCAAACCAATATTAATTAATTGATTAATTACGAAAATTTCACCTTTTAATTTACTTATTATCATTATTCCCTCTAAGTTTTACAAATTTTCAGACGAGAAAATTTCTCATTTTCGCGTATCACATTAATGTATCTTGCGCATCAGATTATTGTATCATGTATAAAATGTATTTCGCGCATCAAATTAATGTATGTCGCATACCAGATTAATGTATCATGAATAAGATGTACCTCATATCTCGCATATTACATTAATGTATCAGCTCTTATATTATTATATACATTTTGAGAGATTTTTGTAATTATAAACTTTTAAGATATAAATTATAATTTTACCTTAAAATTAAGTGATTTTTGTAATTTGCCTATAATTAATTACTTAAGCATTAGTATTTGTTTATTTTTCTCAAATAAAATTTGCGTAGTCACGTGCCTTCCGTCATCCGTCTAATCTTTTCAGTTTTCCCATTAAGCAAAAGCCAAACCGATAAGAAAGATATTTTTACGGTCACATTGTCTTTCAGCAAACAAAATCTTCTTCTTTCCCCTTTATCTCTCGCTCTGCTAAATACACTACACTCTCCATTTCCCGCTCCTCCTCCTCCTTAAACCCTCAGCAGTTGCCGGAGCAATAAGCTCTTGAATTCCTCCACATATTTCTCTGTTACCTGTAAACAGCCACTCCGATACCTTCAACAGTAGTTGGGAGTAACCAGTGCCGGAGCATTCATACAAATGGCCGCCGCTTTCAGTGCTATTTCACTCTGTCCGTACAAACTATGTCATCAGCTAAACCCTAGAAAACATTTTATTTCTTGCTATACTCCATCTACTTCTTCTATAGGTACATGCCGTTTTTACTTTGCCTTCCTTTTTTTTTTGGTTTGTTTTCGAATTGAAGTAATGAATAATGATAAGAGTGAAGTTATGGAATGAGAAATTTTGGAGTATTAGAAAGTAATCTGTTCACTTTGATGAAACAATGATGTTTCCCGAGCGAATAAAACTATGAAGGAAATGAAGTAATAGCAATTTAAATGCTTAGCTATTTTTAGTGGGTAAATTGTTGCCTCGTATGTAGTAAACGTTATTGAATTGGTTCCAGTTACTGGTTGCAGTTCGTATCGTGTTTGAGATTGACTTAATCACTGTAATGTTATCCTTGATTTTCACAGTTTGCTATGAAGTCCCTTACAGTTGTAAAGTCAGTAGATGTATCATTGATTATGAATACACTTACAAACATATATTGTATCTTTTCTTGCATTACCTGTGAGTAAATTGTCTGCTTAGTCACACATACACATACTATGAGTAGTGTTAATATGAAATGATTTAGCCTGGAGATGTTCCTTGCTTCTAAGTTGTTACATCCCATATCAGTCTTGAAGGTGCTTCTGGGAAGAACTTTGTTGAAAGTTGTTTATTCTATTTATTGCTGAAAGCTGGTGTCATTTCAGGCATACGTGGATCAAAAGGTCCTCGTAAAAGACCCGATAAATTGGAGGGTGCTGGAAGAAGCATTGATGATTCTGTCCAACGAAGGATGGAACAATTCTATGAAGGGTCTGATGGCCCACCTCTACGTGTTCTTCCTATTGGTGGCCTGGGAGAAATTGGGATGAATTGCATGCTTGTTGGAAATTATGATCGTTATATTCTTATTGATGCTGGAATAATGTTCCCAGGGTAGGTGTTACAAACTGGCCATTCGTGCAACTTTTTAACAATGATATTGCTGTGTAGAAACTTTTGCAGAATCTCCCTTTAATGAATCTTCTTTGATTACTCTTTCTGTTATAGTCATTCATCTAATGGTAGAGGTCCTGGGGTCCTGTCATCTTTTCCTACTGAAAGCTCTTCTTAACTTTTATTTATAAGTTAAAAGTTCCTACTGGTAATGAAAAGTTATCTAAAGAATTTCTTTCCTTAGATGGTACTAGCTGTGTTAGGCTTTGAATGTAGTTACATTGTCCATATTTCTTTGTCATGGGCTGACTTGGGATCTTATTGGATGCCTCTCCAGCTATGATGAGCCTGGTGTCCAGAAGATTATTCCTGATACAACATTTATTAAGAAATGGAGCCACAAAATTGAAGCAGTTATTATAACCCATGGACATGAAGACCACATTGGTGCACTGCCGTGGGTAAAGTTTCTGTTCTAATCTGTTCATATTTTTATGTGTACTGATGGAAATATATTTGCATATTCACTTCAGGGACTATGTACTACACTGGATCTAATTTAGAGAATCATACTTCTATCATTTTCTAAGCAACTAATGTATGTCATACAGAACTTATCCTGCTGTCTATAGGTCATGTATCTGAGGTCCTTTATTTGATAGGTTCAGTAAAATCTCATCCTTACCATACCACGCTCCTTTATGCATTGTTTGGTGTTAGCCTTTTCTTATGCATGGAGTGTATTTTTTGGTGTTTCAGTTCCTCTTGTTCAATTGCCAAATATGCTTGTGTGTATTTTGCTCAGTTTATATTGCCTTGACATCTCTTATCCTAACAGGTAATTCCTGCTCTGGATTCTCATACACCGATTTTTGCATCGTCGTTTACAATGGAGGTTTGTTAAGATCCTATGAGTTTTCTTGACTGCTCTTGGTTATATAGTAATCCTATGTTCACAAGGATGGTATTTTGAAGCCTAAATTCATAAAACCATAATCTGCCTTCTATTTCAAAAGAAGAAAAGGAGAAGATCTCTGATTGAAGTGGAAACCTATTTTTTCAGAAATGGTTGAAAACATACTGTATCTGCTTATCCTTGAGATACAGTAACAGAACAAAATTTTTCGTCTTCTCTCTCCTACCAAGCAAAGGCAAATCTGAAATGACTTGATTTTTCGTCTTTTCAGTCTTGCATTCATTAGTCTTGCATTCATTTGTCTTCCATATTTTTTCCTTCTCAAAAAATATTAAAAGTGAAATTCCTTCATCTATTGACTATTATATTTGTTATCCTTGGTCTCTCTCTCTCTCTCAGCCGTCTGATCTTCTTCTTTAATTTCCTTTCTGTTCTTTTCTCTTTTCTTCTTTTCCTTTTCTCTTTCCTATAAGTGGTTGGATGGATTTCTTATTGTTATTAAAATGGACAAGGTGAAGTGGTCCGTTTCTAAAAATGAACAAGGTCTAGTCGTTGGTATACTATCTCATAGGCTCAGCCTGCAAAGCTTATTCAATTTTCTCGGAGCATGGTCCAAAACCCACACACACAAATTGAGACACCAATACCTACTGGCTACTGTTGCAACTTATTTATTGGAACATCATGTTCTTTGCTGTTAACTTTTCAACAGTGTTACATGTCAATTTCTGTTGAACTAAGTATCTTTATTATTTTGTAATCAGCTAATTAAGAAGCGACTGAAGGAGTTTGGGATATTTGTTCCATCTAGGCTTAAGGTATTTAAAACAAGAAGGAAATTTACAGCTGGTCCCTTTGAGGTAGAACCTATAACGGTTACCCATTCTATTCCAGATTGTAGTGGAATAGTATTACGTTGTTCTGATGGTACCATCCTCCATACAGGTGACTGGAAGGTATTACACTGTGTCCTCCTTATAAGTCATCTTGAAAAATGTTTAGATTTATGATCTTTATCTTACCCTATGAGTATTCTTTTTTGATTGGTAGCATTATGAGTATTCTGTCTTTTACAGATAGACGAGTCACCACTCGATGGGAAGGTTTTTGACCGCGAGGCCCTTGAGGAACTTTCAAAAGAAGGTGTTACTTTGGTACGGATAGTATCTTATTAAGGAATTACTTCTTTTCAATTAAACGTATTACTTTTAGAATGACTCAGTTCAACCTGTTGAAATAATGTTGAAGTTGTACATATTGAGGGGCTTGAAGACTGTATGGTCGGCAAATGAATTACTATTTACTTTCTGTAGTAGTAAACTGCAACTGCTATTCAGTTAGATGACATGTACATCCTTATATACATCTTCTTTGAACTCCTTCATTTTTCCTTTACATATTAAGCTGTATATTATGTGTTATTTTTGGATGATTTTAGGTTCTTTTATTGAGTGTATACATGCATATATATGATGCATATTCTCCCACCCTGTTCTGAGCTCAGTCTCTCTCTCTCTCTCTCTCTTAACATGCAGATTTGCCTAAGTGTTGAAAAATTCCTCTTGAATTAGGTTAACACCACAGTTTCGTAATTTTAACTTTTCTCTGCTATAAACAATACGTCTTATATAGAAAAATGTCTTTTATTTTATATTTTGGTATATATGCTTTGAACATGTGATGCATATAGCATCCCATGTCTCTTGATTATACTCGTTCCTTGCTTCATAACTGGAAATTATTTCATAGCTTGCCTCAAATATAGTGTTACTTTCACCCCTTGTTACATTCTTGAGCTGCAATCTTCTCTCCTGTCTCTCATGCATAATTTGTTATGTCTTTCTTAACTATGTTAATGTTTGAGTTTATAAATCTCTTATTCTCAAGTTTGCACATGTACATTTTTTTGCATATGTTGTTGGATCTTTTTTTCCAGGGACAGCTGTGGATATTCAATTTATCTTTAATCCTATATCCCTATTTGCTTTATGTGCATACACCTCTATTTATTTTTTCATCATTCTGTTATGTTTAACTTCATGGACGAAAAAATGGAGGATATGTTTCTCATTGAAGCAAACATAAAAGAAATTATTGAGGAGTACTTTTTTTTCCCCAGATGATGAGTGATTCAACAAATGTCCTTTCCCCTGGAAGGACACTCAGTGAAACTGTAGTTGCAGATTCGTTGCTGAGGCGCATTTCAGCTGCCAAAGGAAGGGTTATCACTACCCAGTTTGCATCTAACATTCATCGTCTTGGCAGTGTGAAAGCTGCAGCTGACTTGACCGGCAGAAAGCTGGTATACAGTCTCTCACATGTTCTCATGATCTTTTAGTATTGTATAGACTATCTTTTCTGTCCCAGATTCAGATTATGACATGATTGGTTTAATAGGTATTTGTTGGCATGTCTTTGAGGACATATCTTGACGCTGCATGGAAAGATGGGAAGGCACCAATCGACCCATCAACTCTGGTAATGGCCTAACTGGCCTAAGTTGTCAAGGTCTCCTATGAGTAGAGGACATAACTTTTTCTTGCAAAGAACCTCATATGCTATTTAACATGCACAATTGTACAAGATTGTTAAGCTTACAAGTCTCGACTTACATATTTTTCTATGCCATAGTTGTGTAAACCATAAGAAAAAATTAAATGGTAGAGGGTTGTATAAAATCGATACAAGACAAGGTGAGGATTTTAAAAAAAAATCTTATTTCAGTTGTATTAAGATGATATATTCGGAATTTTACCTAATATTTATCATGCAGTGAAATTAACTTTGTTTTCACCATCACCCAGAATTGTATTCATTGACATCATATGCGAAGGGCACTTTGGTCATCTTAAAGCCATAAAGAGTATTTCTTGTGGAGGGGTCACTTCCTCAATGGTGTGACTTCACAGATTCTATGAGATTTTGTGATTACACTAGAGGTGTCAAATGGACGGATTGTGTTGAATTTGGGTGGGTCAAAATGGGCCAAGTTAATAAATTGGCGGGTTATTGGCCTGTCCAAATGTTACTTGAATTGAAATGTGTTGGGATGCAAAGCCTTGGTACCTGCTGGTAGGAGGTGGGAGATAACCCGTGGAATTAGTCGAGATGCGTGCAAGCTGGCTTAGATACCACGGTTATTAAAAGAAATGGGGGGGCTAAACAAGCCTTGTTTGTTCCTTTTATCTTCTTTTCTGATCTTCTGGACCAGGGATGTGGGTGGGGAGGAAGGATAAGAAAGGGAGGTGGAGTTTCCTGCCTTTCCTCGTCATACAACTTCGTTACATTTTGTCTTCTCTTTGAATCTGATACTCTGTTAAAGTTGAAGAATCCAGGTCAAATGTCTTGCTCGATCTGAGGATAGAGGTAGCTAAACACCTTGAGCATTCATTGAGTGAGGATTATCACTCAAATTTTTGAATGATATCATTGTCTAATCTGTGTAGAGCAACTAGTGAAATATGAAAAGGATATTTTCAATTTGTAACAGTGCCTATTTTCCTAAATTTCTTCCTAATAATTCCACTCTTCATTTTCTAATTCTTCCCCACTCATAAGTACACACTCTAATTCAGGTAAAGGTGGAAGATATTGACGCTTATGCCCCAAAAGATTTGCTGATTGTGACAACAGGTTCTCAAGTAAGTATTGTTGATGTGTCTGCCAGCTTTGCAAGATTCAATTACAGAATATGTAACCTAGTCTCTGTTGTGTCAGGCAGAACCACGTGCTGCGTTGAATCTTGCTTCATATGGAAGTAGTCACTCACTCAAATTAAACAAAGAAGATCTAGTTTTATATTCAGCCAAGGTACCGTCTAAATTGCATTGTTTTACTCCTGGCAATGTGATTTTTTTCGTTCATGACAAAATTCATTCTCAGGATTCCTATTATCCGCTGATGTTCTAATTAATTAACATCATCCATGTCTTAACTTTGTCATATTAACTTTACTCTTCTAATGCCTTAGTTCTGATTCCATTGAGAGACTATTTGATACATGCATCCCAGCCAAAGGGAAGAGTCTTATTCTCGGTCTTCTTCTACCAACCTTTTTATCTCCTTTCAGCCAATGTACTGATGATCTATGATTTTTAGTCTTGGTGTTTGTAGCTTCTCCCTAGATAGCTCTTCTTGTGCTTTGTTGTTGCCATTTCATGCTTCCTGTTAGTACCTCATGATCAGCATGTTTAGTGTAAAGAGTTTGTATGCTTTACCTCTAATAGAGCTTATTTGCTTTACAACATCTCTGCCATGTGAAATTAGGTGGTTTTTATTGATTAGTAGCTTTGCAAAGAACATCTACTCTAAATGATGTGAACTATAAAATTTCCACTTTGTGAGCTGAATAGTATCATGCTGCTGAGACTCCTTCCAACACCAAACAAAAATAGTAAAAGTGAAACAAACACAGGGAAGAGATGCAAAGTAAGATTCTATTGGGGATAAATTTCCATAGAATAAGGTTGACAGAACGTCGTCTTGATTTGAATCCTTGCACTGTTTCCTTTGCTTGCATGATGAACTAGTTAGGATAGTCAATATTTGGTTACTTTGAATATTTTTTTTCTTGAATTTCTCTTTCCTATTTATATGATGAATACTTAGGACCATCTCTTCTTGATTTTTTTTTTTTTGGGATTTGATATGGTAAAAGGAACATATCTTCTTGATTTTTGTTAATGCTTTTTGTCTCTTTTGAAACTATTTAAGATAAAGATTCCTTGAGGTGTTCTTTGTAAGTCTTAAGTTTGCAGAAAGATAATTGATAACATTCTTGAACTGCCATAATCAGCTACACAATCTTTTTTATAGGTGATTCCTGGTAATGATACCCGGGTGATGCAAATGTTGAACCGTATATCAGATATTGGATCAACTATAGTGATGGGAAAGAATGAGCTGCTCCATACATCCGGCCATGCTCATCGCGAAGAGCTGGTAAAATCTTCTTTTAAGTGAAAAATTGTATTGCAAGGAGTAAGGCTTTTTTTTTTTTGTGTGTGTGTGTGTGTTTGTGTGTGTGTATCTGATCTCAAGCTTACTGAATCACAATAGCTGTTATGAAAATGGTTCATTTGTTGACTCTCTCGAGTCCCATTGAGTGATGACAACTTTATCTTGAGTTTTTCCTTTTTCTGGTAGAAGCTAGTAGAAGTTGTACCTGTTAGATCTTCTTTGGCTGAGTCTGACTCTCATTCACTAACATAACGGTGATCTGGGTATCATTCTTGCTTCCACTTAATAGAAGCAAAATAAAAAGTTGGTTATCAGATCAGGTGCATATTCTTTCATAACATTGTGACAATAAAAAAAGTTAACCCGTTTTTATTTATTTTGGCGATGGATGAATTGACACGACTGACGACACATTCTAGGGAAGGTGCCTTGCTGCATGCTGTTTGTTGATGCCATTGTAATGATTGATAAGATGCATAGCAGAGTTAACGACAAGCTAGAGGTATGGAGATAGACCTTGGTGTCTAAAGGTTTCAGGTTGAGCATGACTAAGGCATAGTATGTGGAGTGCAAATTCAGTGATTTGCCTTGTGTAGCTGACGTGGAAGTGAGGTTGGATTCTCAAGTAATCTCCAATAAAGGGAGCTTCAAGCACTTAGGTCCTATTATCCTAGGTAATCGGGAAATTAGCGGGGATATCACACATCACATATGTACGGGGTGGTTGAAATGGAGTCTAACATCTGGTGTCTTATGTGATAAGAAGGTGTCACTAAGATGTTAAAGTATGTTCTACAAAGTAGTAGTTTGACTGACTTTGTTGTATGAGGTAATATGTTGGCTAGTTAAGAACTTATGTCATGAAGATGAAATTTGTGGAAATGAGGATATTTAGATAGATGTGTGGGCTTACTAGGAGAGATATGATAAAAAAATGAAGATATTCGGGCCAAGATATAAGTGGCCTCCGTGGTGCACAAAATGTGGGATGTAAGGCTGAGGGTGGTTTGGACATGTCAAGAGGAGATGCATAGACACTCTAGTGAGGAGGTGTGAGAGGTTGACACTGGAGGGTCTGGAAAGGTAGAGTTAGGCCAAAAACGTACTTGGGGGAGGTGATTAGACAAGATATGACAAGTCTTCAGCTTACCTAGGACTTGACCCATGATAGGAGGTGGGGAGGTCGAGGTTTCGGGCAGAAGGCTAGTAGTATATAGTTTCAGATCTTGTCTTTCTTGCTAGTAGTATTAGTATTGGTATTTTTATAATTTCACTATTTCAGTATTTCTCATGCTTAATTTACTACTTGTTGTCTTTTATGCATCGATTCATTACTATCCTATGATTGTTCCTATTGTTACTGCTTGTGTCTCCATAAATGTTGCATTTTTGCTTTCCTTGAGCTGAGGATCTATTAGAAATAATTTCTCTACCCGTCAGGGTTGGAGCAGACCCCACTTGGGGTACTAAGCTATATATGTAGTTGTTGTTGTTGTAGTATATTGTGACTAGAAATGAAGGTTTGGTTTATATAGTAACAAGAAAAGGGATATTTTGAGGAAAGGGTAAGTGAATCGCTCTGCGGGAACTTTTCCTAATCTGACTAAAATTTGTTAGTTCCAAATGGTTGCCCGTGGATGGAAGACATATTGAAGAGAGAAGCGGCAGGGCTGGGGAGATGTGATTTTCATTTTTATGCATCTTTTGTGCTTTAGAGAAACAAAGAAAGGGAGGAGAAGAATTTTGGTTTCTCAGATTATATACCAGAGCATGACACAGTTCTCATTCCGTATATTTGTTTTTCCTAAAAAAAGATTTATCCATTTTTTCAATTTCATACTCAATGTCTAAGCTGCAATATTGATGATGGATTTCCCATTCTGAAGGAAGAAGTTCTAAGGATTGTGAAGCCGCAACATTTTCTTCCGGTCCATGGCGAGCTCTTATTCCTTAAAGAGCATGAATTATTGGGGAAATCAACTGGAATTCGGCATACAGCTGTAAGTTGTATGGTTTATTTGGATGTTTGATTAATAATGCTTATTGCTTCAAGTACCTTCAAATTGTATAGACATGTAGCCGTTGGATCTAAGGTGTGTTGCGGGCATATCTTTTTGAATACTTGAATTTATCCATAATGGCATTCTTCTATTCTTATAATTTTAGGGAACCGTATCACGATGAAAGCATGTCTATATGGTCAGATGTAGATATCTCACTGGGTGATTGTCCTTTTTTTGTCCTCCCCCTCCCCCTCCTCCCCCACCCACCCACCCACCCACATATATTCTTTGAGATTCATGTCACCCCCACAAAGCCCAGGAGTCAAATTATGGATTTTCCCACTTTACTTCCTTGGTGAATTGAAGCCCAACCTCATGGTTAGAGATTGATGACCCTTTCCACTAGACTATACCTCCCTTGTCAGTGAACAGATTTTTGCCAAAGCTAGATATAGTCTTCGAGGAAAGTTTGTCGAATATGCAATGTGTTGCATACAAAGACTGTTGATAGATTTAGTCTTTGAGGAAAGCTAAGTTAAATCTCTCATAATAATTATCTTTAAAAAAAAGGTAGTCTTTGAGGAAAGCTAGATATATTCTCTGCATCATTAGCTTTTCTTTGACCAATGGTCCTAGTGAGTGTCTAAAGCTTCTAATGAAGGATTCAACTGTTTCAACTGATATTCTATTTACCTGAATTAGATCGAAGCTGACCAACCAAAGAGTGATTTTATTACACATGGTTCAATTTCCAGCCTCCCCCTATGGGATGCAAGAAGTGAAATCCTATTTATTTTGATGATTATTCAAAAATACATGAATGTATAGACTTGAAGAATGACTAAGGGGATGAGTGGGCTCCAAGCATTGGGAATTATCTGCAGTGAGAGAATGATTCAGTCTTGTATCATAAGCATTGTTGTTAAGCCTTTTCAGTTCATTCTCGATGCTGATTTAAAGTGACCCCTGTTATTGTAACTGTGTGTGAATAGGTTATCAAGAACGGAGAGATGCTTGGAATCTCCCATTTGAGGAACAGAAAAGTTCTATCCAATGGTTTCATTTCCTTAGGAAAGGAGAAGTTGCAGGTTTCTTACTTTCTCACTGTGCAAATAAAGACTGCACTCTTTCATCTTGTTTCTAGACTGAACTAGTTTTTTTTTTTTTGCAGTTGATGTATAGTGATGGTGACAAAGCCTTTGGTACAGCTGCTGAACTTTGTATCGATGAGAGACTTAGAATTGCTTCGGATGGTATTATAGTGGTCAGGTAATTTTCTCTAGCTTGTGATGCATCACATATTTTTCCACCTTGTGATACTAATATGTGTAAGATATCTGGAATGCAGTATGGAAATAATGCGTCCTCAATCCACAGATGGTATGACAGAGAAAGCTTTGAAGGGAAAAATAAGAATAACCACACGCTGCTTGTGGCTTGACAAAGGGAAACTTCTGGATGCGCTCCATAAAGCTGCACATGCTTCACTTTCAAGCTGTCCATTGAACTGCCCTTTGTCCCACATGGAAAGAACCGTGTCTGAAGTTCTTAGGAAATTGGTCAGGAAATACAGTAGTAAAAGACCTGAGGTTATTGCCGTTGCCTTTGAGAATCCTGCAGGAGTTCTGGCTGATGAAATCAATGGAAAACTTTCTGGAAAATCACATGTAGGTTTTGGAATTTCAGCACTTAGAAATGTATTGGATGAAGATCAGAAAAGAAGACAGGCAAGTGGGGCACGTGCAGAAGGAGGTAATGGCAATGGCTATCCAGTTGATGATGCAGTTGAGCAAGTGAAAGGTTTGTTCCTCTCATGCTTCTTTCCAATGAAATAGTTCAGTGATTCTTTCCAATACATTCTGTGGTTTTCTTATCTGATTAGATGCTAGGCAAAGTAATCATCTTCGGGTTCGTATGCTGTGATCTTCTTGATATAATTGCTTTTGACATTCACAAAATGGCCCAATAAGCCTAGAGGGTAGGTGGTTGCCCGTTGGTATATAGGAATTTTGAGTAGAACTGGAACATTGCTTGAACTGAATTATATTTAGGGGTCACATATAGTTTGTTATGTTAGAATTTGTTGATATATGTCATGAACATGCCAAGTGCTGAAAGGGGTTGATTTAAAAGCCCTTTAGATGGTGAAAAGTAGGAGATTTGGTTCTATCCAGACGTTTTTACTACTTTGACCTTTTTGGTCTTCAAGAGACCCCCCCCCCCCCAAAAAAAAAATAAAAAACAATTGCTTGATATCTGCTCTCCACAATGGAATTCTCAGGGCATGTGTGTAGCACCAAAAAAGAAAAAAACTCACATGTTTTCTATGTCTAAATTGCATGCCATTGCTGACTTAAAGTATGCTTGTACATCATGAAAGTAGCATCTTTTATATTTCTTTTCTGGAGACGATTTCATTAGTTGGTGGATAGATATTACATCGGAAATTGCTTGTTGATTTTGTCTTCTGATATGATTTGATCTTAAGCATCCAATGCATGCTTAAATTCTGCCATCATTTCTTCCCTAACTTTTACATGCAGGTGATGATATGGATATTGAGAGACTTATGCATGATGGAGCAACTACTTCAAGTGCAAACTCACTGGATGAATATTCTACCGCTGAGGTAAAATCAGATGATTCTTCAAAGTCTTTTGTATCATCAACATTGCTTGATCAATTGAAAAAAGGTAGATTTGGCGCTTCAACACAGGAGGAATCAGAATCGTCCAGAAAAGAGAGCGTTCAAGTTGATTCTGGCTTTCCACAATCTATGATGAAATCTTCCAAGCCTTTGAAGAGAAACAGATGGAAACATGATGAGATAAAGAAATTGATTATGTTGCGCGGGGAACTCCACAGCAAGTTCCAAGTTGTTCGTGGACGAATGGCACTATGGGAAGAGATATCTTCAAATTTACTTTCTATTGGAGTCGATCGAAGTCCTGGACAGTGTAAATCTCTCTGGGCTTCTTTGGTTCAAAAGTATGAGGTGAGTATTTCTGATTCTTGTGTTCTCCTTGAGCATATGTACATTTACTTGGTTGTGCTGATTAGCATGCTCAAACAATATTGGAAGAAACAAATTTACAATAAACAATGCATTTTGATTATCCTTTTTAGAACTTGTTTTTAGGATATCACATTATTTCTGTCTGAGGACATAGAAATGAAAATAGGGATAAATATACCCTTGTGTATGGTGTGTTGTGACCTCTTCAAGGGGAAAAAGGGAGAGAAATAAGATTTATCCATATCTTGAATTGTAAATACACGGATATTGCTAATACAAATTTCTACACATGAAATATTTATATATTTCCTTTTAGATGAAGATTCGCCCCTTTCACCTGCATCCTGTTGAAATTCTTGTGGAGACATTTTCTGTTTGGGAGGCTACTTTTATCAACGTCTTTGCTTTCTGTAACAGGAAAACAAGAGTGACGAGAAAAGACAGGATAAATGGCCTTACTATGAGGAGATGAGAAAAATCTTGTCTGATTTGGAGGCAACGGCCCATAAATGAACTGGACATGTGTACTTGCAGGTAGTGTATGTGGAAGCAATTCTTCATTGGGGGGATTCATGAGTTTGGATACTGATATTTATCCAAAAATACTAACGCGCCCCTTAAAATTCAAGAAGCCGGATCAAAACTTCACCATTTGTCCTGGTGGATTAGCTGTTGCGCAAGCTTTTCAGATGAAGCCAAAGGCAGGGAAGGATTTAAAAATTTATTAAGGGTCCTTATAAGCCCGGGGAAGGACTGGTAAATTGTGCAATGGTTTGCTAGTGATTTTAGAGGTTGGAAGGTTTATCATGCTGGTAATAATTTCCAAGTGGATACGAACAGTTGAAAGTGATTCTAAAGTAGTCTGAAATTTTGATGGTAAGAGTTGGCATATTGATTTGGGTTACTTGTAGGTTAGTAGACACTATTATTGATTATGTATTGCATGTTGTACCAATTATAGCATTGAATGCCTTGATGATGGGATGTAGGAATATAGACGATTATTATTTTTAGATATATTCCTCCAAATTACCTTTAATTATTTCTTGGTACAGTGAAATTTTATCTTACTCGTAAGGTTTCATTGCATCTGACAGTTTTTTTTTTTGTTTTTTTTAATCCATCGTTCATATTCATCACTCTGAGTCATATTTCTCCTTAACTATGCTTAGCTAAAAATTTCATTTTTTGTAACAATTTTAGTTTATGTATTAAAAAAAGTGTGACATTCAGATCAATATTATTCTTGCAGTATAACTGCTCAATATAAATACTAATGAATTAGATGAGTAAACTTTGGATAGCATTCTAACGTCATGTTTTCAACTGAAGTCCTTAGTTGGGTTAATACTTTTCATCGATATAACATGATTAGAAAAGTCACTATTTTGAGCATTGAAAAATAAGTTTACGCGAAGGAGATTCTTGTGGTTTGATTTTTTTTCAAATTTCGATATAACATAAGTTTAATGCATCATCCCATATAAATAATACGTAGAATTAGTTATTTAACTCATCATCTCATCAAGCGGTACATAAATAACAGAAATCAAATAATCTCTAAGACAACGTAATTGAGTAAAATTTCTATTTGATCAAAGTTTTAAAAAAAGAAATGATGTCTTATACCCACTTTTGTAGTAATTTTTATTTTTTTAAAAAATGATACTATTATAGTAATCTAATCTAATTAATGTAGATGAGAGCAAATTCTATTTTACCGCCCCCACGAACCACTATTAAGGGGGGAAAATGTATTTTCTCCTTTCTGTCTAAACTTGAATCAGTTTTGCAGAGCGGCAACTATGGAGGATACCTCATCATCCATTTCTCCGAACAATGCCACAACTTCCGGTGCGGCCAAATACCTAGCCGGCCTCCCTTCTCGCGGCCTTTTCTCCTCCAACGTCCTCTCCTCTACTCCGGTAACTTCCTCTTTCTCCCTCCCAAAACCCTAATTTACTTTTGCACCATCCCCTCTTCCCCTTTTCTTTACTGACGCCTTTTATGTGGTATTAATACTTCTTAATAGCAGTGCTGAATCGTATAGTATAATCGAGTAGATATAACTGTTCTCTTTGATGTTTTGGAGTAGATATAACTGTTGTATAATTGTCCCAAACTTATCTAATTTCATCTATGGTGGAATAAATTCTTGAGATAGAGAGTTCAGGGAGATCAGAGGCGGATACAACTTTATATACTTACAACATTGAGTACAAGTTTATGTGTACAAAATTATTAGGATCGCAATAATAGTAGGTCTGTACTTATAATTTTTAAATCCGAAGAGAGGGAAATGGTAGGATACTTCTGTTTGTGCCTGTATCTAAAAAAAAGTTCTTATTATCAACTGCACAAGACTTGGTCTTCATTATTCTTATTGTGGAATTCTGTTTTCCTTCAGTTCTAGGGATTTCCATGTTGAAAGAACTCCTTGAATGTGGTATTATAATCAGCATGGTGTTTTTACAAAAACACTTTTAATTAAAAAGAATGGTGATACAAACACATAGCTATGCACACAGTAGTAATTTTATCTTAAGAAGGGTTAATTTGGATTGAGAAACTGTTCTGGCTCTTCTTTGCTGTTGTTTGGAATACTGTTAAACCCCAGCCTAGACATAATAAGGTTTTACGTCCAAAAGAAATGACTAGTTGGTGATGCTAAACACTGCGTGAATCAGTGTAGGATCAGAAAGGTTTTCGAAAGATAAATAATAGGTGGTACCTCTTTTCTGAGTTCAACGTCCTCCTTGCACCTTTAGAGTAACAATCGTCTTTGTATTTCCTTCGTTTGTCTTCAGTTTAAGATTATATCATCCGTGTGCCTTAGCCTCTTCATGTTTACTTACCATCATATCTGCTGACCAGCATTAGCTGGAAAATAATTTGACTATCAAAAGAAAAGTGATGCTATCAGGAAATATAATAATGCTTCTTCCATGTTCTTTTGAACTCCACTAATTTAGAAACTTTATGCAGGGTGGAATGCGAGTATATGTTTGCGATCACGAAACGTCACCTCCGGGTCTGTTTTTGTATATTGATGTCTTTTAAATTATTTATGGTGAAAATTGATTTGGTCTCTAAATCTCCTTTTATTCTTGTTCTTTGAACAGATTTACTTACATATGGTTATTTTATTGCTTAGTTTTTTGTTTACACTTCTACTCTTAAGTCATTGTAAAGCATTGATATCCACTCATTGTGTCTCATTTAGTACATGGTTGGTTAAATCATAGAAATATCTCTTTTATCTTGAGTCTTGATGCAATTCGGATGTCTCTTTTTTCTTTCTTTCCCTCTTTTTAGTTTTCCTCATTCATCATCTTCTTCAAGGCTAGATTGTTTTGTTCGTCAATCTGGATTGCTAGTTATATTTTACAAAATGTTGTATATGCAGAGGACCAGCTTATTAAGACCAACCAGCAAAACATATTGATTAGGTCTCTCATGCTTAAGAAGCAAAGAGGTGAATGTAGTTCAAAAGAAGGCAAGGGGGTTTCCTCAAATGACAATGGTAGAAAAAGGTAATTGTCCATATTTTCTTACCTCAGTATTATTGCTATCCTTTACTAGCTAGAGCACCTTTGTTCAGTTAACATATTTGTATCTCCTGCCACCATCTAATTTTCAGAGCGGCTGAAAAAGCATTGGATAGTAGGGCATCAGCCAAGAAGGCTACCACCAGTAACCATGCTGCCTCTGCCCAAGGTGTGCCCATTATTGATCATCACTTGCGGTCTTAGTAGTTGGTACATTCAAATGTGTTATTTTTTTAAAGCAGTGATCTTTCACTGAAAAGATGCTTGAATTATTGTGGTTGTCAATGTATCCTATTGCTAAACTGAAAAAGAAAGAAACAAATGAGTATCCCTAAGCTCTCCATAACTTCATTTGCTTAAATTGTCCGATTTGACTCTTAAATTCTAGCTCAAATTATATTGCATAGTTTACATACCAGCTCTAAAACTTTTGGGTCCACAAAATAGAGAACAGTAGTATTGTTGCAAAAAGACTGCTCCTTCACTTCCATTGATGAAATACCATTTGATGAAAAGAACAATTATCATAATGGTTGTTAAGAGATATGGGGTTCTGCTTTGCTTTTTGTTGGGATTGGTGGTTCTGTTTTGGTGTAACTAGTATTGCTGGTTCTTTTGTAAGTCGGGATTTGGTGAAGTCTGATTTCAGAACTTCTAAAATTTGCTATGATTCGATGAATACTACTGATTGATTAAGTTTCAAAAAGGAATTTAAAATGTTACATGATTATTATACATTAGTAGGAGCAATAGAAGGATATATTACTTATATGTTGAAAATTTATTTATCTTGATTGTAGAAACATCACATCAGGTTTTAAATTTAAATTGTCATTCTAGAAGTTCTTATGGATGTATTAAGTTATTAGTTATTTTGCCTTGGAATATTGTAGGACATCCTAAAATGGGAAGTCACGTATAGGTTTGTATAGAGGCCCTAGTATTTAAATGGCTAATGACTTCCAATCGTTGATTTTGTATAATTTAAACAGCCTCGGTTCATTTTAAAAGTTAATGGTTATGTCATGAACTAAATCTTAACCAAAATTATTATTTGCTGAAAAATAAGGGAAGACTAGGTTTGTAATAGAAGAAAAAATAGGTGGGCAGGAGGGCTAGTATATGTTACAAAGTTAAGAAGGCTAGGATTGCAGTGGAAGAGAGGGGGTGTAATTTTAAGAACTGCAAATCTTCCCTTGAAAGATCCAAAGATGCCAACAATTCATAATCTACATATATAGGAGCTCAGTTAAATCAGTAATGCTTCACAACAATTCCAACTAAGTCAACTATGTGGACAACACTTAAGTCTAACTAGACAACAACAACAAACCCAGTGTAATCCCACAAATGGGGAAAACTAACTTCACTAGTTTAGAAAAAATCTCTATTTTCCATTTCGCAAGTCAAATCCTTGAGTTTTAACTCCAATTTCCATTACATTTGTTATGGAACCTAGTTGCTGCTTTAGAAACTCTAAACGATATCGTTCAAGCAAACCTAACACTATCCATCTCCCTTACCAACAAACTTTTCAATTTCGAGTCTAGCTTTCTATTGTTTCATGAATTGGTGTTTAAATTTGAATCTTTCTTCAAAGGTATAGTTTACGATGTACATGCAACATAATATACAAGATTGGAGTGAAAGGATTACCTCTTTGTCAAACCCAAGAATTTTCAAGATGTGAGTCCTTGAGTTTTTGGTCAAAAATCTATAATTTCCATGATATTGAGGAGTTAGGGAATGCATTTGCCATTTAACGAACCAAATCTACTAGGAAATGCATTTAATACTCACCTCAGAGTAGAATTTATGGAGTAGAAGCTCTCCCTTCTCTCTAACTCCCAAGAACTTGTTCCAAACAAATAATCCTTCTCTCCTGAAATGCATTTAGTACTCACCTTAAAGTAGAATTTATGGTGGGAACTCTTTAACTCCCAAGAATTTGTTCCAAACAATTAATTCTTCTCTCTCCAGAAATGCCTCTGAATGGCTGCTTCAGTTGGATCACACTAGGACAGGCACAACGCTCAACAGTCACGTTTTCTAAAATGACGCCGAGTTTGATGCTAACTGCTGGACGGCACTGCCAGTAGTGGTTATTTTGGTTCTAAAGTTTGCTTCTTAATTTGTCTTTATTATTAAGAGCTAATTTAATTCCTTCATCTGCTTTTAATTGCACCATCGATTCCATCGTCCAGGGAATTAAAATCCTTGTTTTCAATTCTCCTTCTCATTTTGTCTTTTCCTTAATTCTTATCATCCTTTCTTAGCTATTTTAAGCTATACCAATATTAACTACAGGTGTTTCAATTACTTTGTTATTATCGAGCGGGTCCCACCTGACTCGAAATTAATTGAATTGCATCCTTATACTGAAAAGTAGTCTGAATTAATTATAAAAATTCACGTGGCTTAACAACTACTCTAGAAATTTGCTGAAATCTTGTTTGGACGGATTATAAGATCTTAACATTTACTACCAGTTTATTTTGGATGAGAAGGTAAAGATCATACTCCTATCATTTACAACCAATAATAAGTTGTGTGATTGCTGTCAAGCATCAAGTACATGTATAATATTATATCTTATGAGACTAGATAGTGAATAACATCTTCTTCCAGAAATCTATCTTCAGGACATTGAGTGACAAGAGATAAGGCGATTAAAATGACTTAGCTCTAATTTCTGTATATATTCCTTTGGGGACATTGAATGTCATCTTTCCAAACCTTTGGGAATGTGGAAGCCACTTACAAAAAGGTTTATTGATTTGCTTTACCATGTCATGCCTGAAAAGTAAATTTAAAGGCACAATAAATAGTATACTCTCAGTTAGACACCGTCATGTTTTTTCAGGTCTCATTGTAAATATTTCCTACTCTGACCAAATTTTCTTTTTTTTGAAGTCTTTGTTGGAACTACTTATTTTTGTACATTATCATTTACAGTTAGTGATGCATTAAACTTGGTCTCAACCCCTGCAGGAACTTCAAAAAATCGTGCACCTGAAATACAAAATATGACTGTTGAGAAGCTACGGGCTTTGTTAAAGGAGAAAGGTCTTTCACTGAGAGGAAGGAAGGCAAGTATTTGCATAACCTTTTTATTTTATATAGGTTTTGAATTTTTCATTGTGGTCCACTATTATACTTTTACTCGGTAACTTATCCTCCTTGAGGACATTATAATAAGTAGTACTTGTATGATGTGTTTTCCCCGACGTGTTTGGAATTGAGGTTTAGTTGTTGATTTTCTACTTGAATGATGTTTTTTTTTGAATATTTGACCTATTCTGTAGCATGTCGTTCTCTTCCAATGCAGTTCTCACTATATAATTCTGTTGGCAGGATGAACTAATTGCTCGGTTAAGGGGGGACACATGACTAAAGCATATTCGTAGAGTTTGAGGCAGCTGATTCCAAATTCCATTTTGTACACCTAGCAGCTGGGCAAAAGTAGGCTTTTGCTTCTCTATTATGGGTGCTTTACAACTAGTTAAAGAGTCAACTTATGGCCCTTACAACTCTTGTGTCGCGTTCTGCGTGTTTCTGTGTTCTTGTTGTATGCTATAGTATTTTGTAGTTAAATTATGAGGGGGCACTATACTTGTGCCTGAATAGTTACCTAATACTTCTAATATGTGAAAAACTGCATGTCAATTTTTTTCTGGTCACTGCAAATTCACAATGAAACTGGTCTTTCAAAATCTACTATTGTCAGCTTTTGCGTCTAATCTTTGGCTTCATTGTCACCTCCTTTTTTGCCGGGTTGGGGGAGGTGATTACAAGGTGGAATCGAACTTAACCAATTGAACTACTTAGATTGCCCTCATTCTGCCTCTTCATTTACTTAACCAATTGAACATACTTAGATTTCTCTCATTCTGGTGTTAATTATATTCTTGCTCATTTTAAATTCTAATAATTATAAATTATGTTCTTCATAGAAGTAAATGAAAGCAATCATTCGATAAACGACATCATAAATTTATAAATATATTTATATCTTCGAAAAGAAGCAGGTGAGGTGGAACATAGTCTTAATTAGAGGTATATTTTATTAAATTATCTTGACTAATGATGTTTTCAAATTCTAAATTTGACTACTATTATTATTTTACGTAATTTTTAAATACTTTCTTCGATAAGTATTCTAATTAATATTTCAAGATGTGTTTTTTAATCATATTAATATGAAAAAAAATTGTAATTTGTAAATATCAAACGACTGTAAATGGAGAATTACAATATTTATAATTATTGAATGACTATAAATAGAGAATCACAATTTTTATTTTAAAAAAGAAAAAACATGACACGAATTTTACGCAATACACATTGATCAACATAGACTTGACTTTTAAGTGGGAAAAGTTAACTACGATAAATATGTGGCATAATGTCTGCTTGTCGACATGAAGTGATACAATCGACGTTTTCTTTTCCTTTTGTTTTTGTCTGATTAAAAATTCGACATCGGAAGAATCTTAAAATTGACTATCTAAATTCTCACTTAGTTGATATGGTTCGATTTTTCACGTTACAATTTCCTTTCATATTTTCCCTTTCCCCACTCTCAATTTACGGCAACAAAAAAAATAAACAACAAAAATTGACATTCGACAAAAATACAGCAACGATGGCAAAAACTTCTGCTTGATGTTGCTGACACCTTTTCAGCAGTATCCTACTTCATTCATGTCAAATTATTTATTGTGATTTATTTTACACGTTTATTTTAAAAAAGGATTGAAGAGAATTTTAATTATATCACACTTTATTGGCATTTCAAATTACTCATAACATCACCCATGTTTACAATCTTCTAGAGTAAAATGAGATATTTTTATCTCAAACTAGTAAAATGAAAATAATACTTTCTTCATCCCCAAGTGTCATCTCAGCCATAAAAAAAAAAAAAAAAAAAAAAAAAAGTTAGTCCCAAAATAGGTGTCATCTAAGGAGTTCAAACTATAGAAATTGCTGATTCACTTTTACTTATGTGATATTGATTTGTGTCATCTAAGGAGTTCAAACTATAGAAATTGCTGATTCACTTTTACTTATGAGATATTGATTTGGCACATCCATTTAGAAAAGAATTATTAATATAGGTATTTTAATAAACTATTTCCTGTAATTTGTATAATGATTTCTTAAAAAATTATTTCAAAAAGGAAAATTTTCATATATAGCCACTAAAAAATAATCTAAGTACTCTCTATGCTACAGTTTGAATAATTACAATGCGTAGCTAAATGTTATAGGGAGGAGAGAGGCGGCGAGACTGGGAGAGAGAGAAGAGAGGCGAGAGAGAGGGCAGAAAGTGGGAGAGAAGTGAATTGTATATGTATATTGGTTAGATAATTGTATATAATGCAATATGTATTTGTATATATGGCAAGCGAGATGGGAGAGAGAGCGATATTGGGAGAGGAAGGAGAGAGGCGAGCGCAACTGGGAGAGAGGCGAGCGAGAGGGAGAGAGGTGAATTTTATATGTATATTGGTTTGATAATTGTATATTATAGATATGCAGTTGTGTAAAAAGCAAGATAGATTGGAAGAGAGAGGAAAGAGACGAGCGAGATTGGGAGAGGGAGGAGAGAGAGCAGAGAGTGGGAGAGGGAGGAGAGAGAGCAGAGAGTGGGAGAGAAGTGAATTGTATATGTATATTGATTAGATATTATATATTATAAATATGTATTTGTATATTCTTGAGAATTATATATATACAAATGTGGCTAATTATACAAACTCAAAGTCAATCACATAATCAATGTATAATGTTAGTCGTGAGTGGTAATTATAGCAAACTATAGATATGATGAGTAATCAAATAGTGTAAATTTGCTTAACCGCATAATTTTTCCTTTAAAAATAAGTATTTAATGATAAGGGTAAAAGATGGAAAAAAAACATTGTTTTTTCTTGATATATCAAAAATGATAAGTAAAAAAAGAAAATCTATTTCAAGAATAAGTGACAACCAAAAGTGAATGAAGGGAGCAGTAATTTTCTATACTTTTAACTTTTTTAAATACTATTTAATTATCAAGAAACATTTATTACTCAGTCACCGAACAATAGTTATCCACTATATTAAAAATAGTTATCCAACAATACTTATTCAATTTAGATAATTAAGAGATAATTTATTTTTTGTGTCTATTTTTCTCTTAATATTAAATATTATTTATCATTTAACACATTTTTTAAAGTATAAAATTTAATAAAATCAAAACATAATACAATAATATTACCTTTATTATTTACTAGTTTTTTTAAAATTTAGTAAATCAATAATAGACTACTATTATTAAACAAAGAAATTACGGGAAGTAATCCTAATTATTAGCAAATGGAAAGTTTTTTTTTTTTTTTGAAGTGTGGAAATGGATCTATTAAGCCCTTTATAATGTGAAAATAGAAGAAAATGATTATAAAAATTTTGTACGTCATTTTTAGATTTTCATATTTTCTATAAAAAGAAAATTGTATATATATAGCAATTATTTATAAGTCGACTTGAAGACTGTAGTCGCTTCTTTTCTTCCAGAGAAAAAATTAAAAACGTGTATGAAAGCTATTACTTGTGGAAAATGTGCGACTTAAATGTACCATTTTTTTTTTCCTTTTTAATTGAGTTAAATAACACATCTTTTTTTTTTCCTTTTTTGTTTATGTTGACAAGTCACAAAAGATTACTGAATTTTCTTAAATTTTATTTTATTATACAATTTTGTCTTTTAAATGTACTTGTCTTCAATTATTACTCTTTAAATTTAATGATGGTTTAAGATGGGCTCAGTTAATTTGAAGCGTTTGAAATGAAATCCTTCAATTTCTTCTGAGAGTATTATGTCACATGAAGCTTGACTAATACGACTTACATTTCATGTGTGGTTTGCAAGATATTATACAGTGAGGGTTTATTCAGTATGCACAAGTTCTTACTCGAAAGGTGGAGATTGTGTTTTGCAACGACAGTAAATTATTCTGGAATTTCAAAAAAAATATTTTTTTTTAATTTTTGTTTTCTAAATTAGATGAATTTATATTGTCCTTTCAAATTGAATTTATATGTAACAAAAATAATTTTTTTTAAAAAATGAAACATTATGATATAAAAATATAAATTTATTAATGAAAAAATTATATATTCGAAAGAGACAAAAATTAAGAGCTAGGCCGGCGAAGGTGCAACTGACCCCTTTTTCCGTACAAGCGTATTGCTGTATTGGACTTCAAACTATATTATTGAGGCCATTATGGTCCACAAAATATACTATTCACTGAATTAAATAATAGTGACGGGATATAAAAATAATAGTAACGGTTTAAAAAGATAGCAATAGGATAATTCCTTTTTTTGTTGTTTGATTGTAAAGTTTAATTTATCCCACTGTTTATACGAGTTTGGAGCCTAAAATAGTATAAAATGTTAACAAAAATTTTAAAATATTATATAAATTTTTATTTTAACCAAAACAGTAAAATCATCGAAATAGCAGCGATATAGTTCGCCTAAAAAGTAAAATCGCTGTTATAGCAGCGATTATCAAAATAATTTTTTTTAATGTTTTTTTAATAAAACTCTATCTAGATAGCGTTTTACCTTAGAAATTTCTTTATTATTATTTATTAGATTTTTTTAAAAAAAAAATTGTATCAAAAAGTTTAAGCCTCAAGTTGATACAACATTAAAAAAAAAAAGAATTTATAACACAAATCGCTTCCTCTGGCATCGATTTGCTTTTATATTTTTTTTAAAAAAAATAAAAAAATTTAAAGGTATTAAAAAAATATTAAAAAAATTATTTTGAAAATTGCAGCCTTGGCAGTGATTTCTTAAAAATAAATTTATTTTTTAAAAAAAAAATCAATTTTGCAAATCGCTGCTATAGCAGTGATTTTGATTTTTTCGACCAACTAAATCGCTGTCATTCCAGCAATTTTACCGTTTTGGTTAAAATAAAAATTCATATACCGTTTTGAAATTTTTGTTAATATTTTATACCCTTTAAGCTCCGAACTCCCATTTATATTATAGTAATAGAATAAGTTATTCCATACATTGTGAGATAAGTTATTCCAAAATAACTTATCGTGAATTAACTTATTTCAAACTAAATGACTCCTTATTGTATTACTCATCATCAAATCTAATCATAGATATCAAATATCATAGGATTATAATTAAGGGGTCATAATTTATTTATTTTTAATTATAAAAAAACTATGATTGAATTTTATCAATTCATATTGATCAACATCGATTTGACTTTAAGTGGGGAAAAAGTTTTAATTACAATAAACACGTGGATGTCAACATGAATTGATATTATAAAGATTTTTTTTTATCATCATAATAATTAAGATTCGACATTTAATAAAAAATATAATAATAATATCCTAAAATGTGATACCAACATTAATGGCAATAACTTCTACTTATTGATGTTGTAACCACCTTTTTAGCAGTAATTTTTTGTTATCTGTCGTAATTTTTTTTATACTTAATAAAAAAGTATTAATTAAAAGAGATTTCTAACCTTAATTCACTATTTATTACTATTTGAATGATAATAACATTATTCATAATTGAGGTATGTATTGTCTTAAAGAATAATACTAATAACTATTAATGGTAAAAAAAATGAAATAACTTAAATTTAAATTTATAAAATAAACATTTTTAAAAATCA